TTATCTTCTAAAATAAGCAAAAAAGGTAATTCCATCATCTAAATTTTATGTGAATTCAGCCGCGGGACTGAAAAAACATGGTGAATTTTTCGTTTATTTTTCCGTAATATTTCAGTTAGATATTGCAATTGTCTCCGGAGATCCAACAACTGCTGTTATTGTATTTTATCACTTGGACTAATAATTCATCCATATTTAAAGAATATCTATTTATTTTTTCCCCTTCTTTCTCTTTTTACGCACAAAGAAGAAAACTAAACCAACAAGATTCTTATTTCTCACCGTCACTGTTACCATGTGCGCCGAAGCAAAAATTACTATTCCCTACACAGCATAAGTTTCGATCCCTCGTCTCCAGTATTATAACTCGTTCCTAGCGGTTATAATATTCTATCTTGCTTAGGTTACTCGCTGTGACGTGATTAGAAATTCTCATCGACTGACTCCAACGGCCTTTCCTTTAACTCACTTTGAATTCTTTACTTAAGGCATTCATTTGTATTACCGGAGTGTCTTATTTACTCCACAGCAGCGTCCTTATTTCTTTTATTAAATAATATATATATATATATATATATATATATATATATATATATATATATATATATATATATGAAAATTTCTCTGATTTAACCAGTAGAGAAGACAATATTTATGAATAAAAATGACAATAGGAAAACTGGTAATTGCTGACGCGTTTCGTCCAATGTGGACTTTATCAAAGCAAAATGCGAAAAAAAACTTATATATATATATATATATATATATATATATATATATATATATATATATCGGAGGATGTATATTTTTCTGGCAAGATTTCTCGAATATCCAGGCCGGTAAATGTAGTTGGATAAAAATACTATTTCATTAAACAAAAAAACAAAAACAAACAACAAAAAAAAACAGAGCTTCTACTCGAATATGAGTATCCATAAAAAATAACGTTTAAATAAAATAAATTAAAAATGACAATATGTCGTATTAATCCATTTCCTAAAAATTATATATATATATATATATATATATATATATATATATATATATATATGCAGCAATTGTTATTATACACACGTTTTATTAAAAATGATAGATATTCGATGTCTACTGAATTTCTCCATCGTTTATTTATTTATTTATTTGTTTATTTCAAATGGCAAGGCTTACTGGAAAACATCGGTTCTCGTTTGATTATCGAAGTTAAGTAAATCGAGCCTGGTCAGTACTTAGATCAGGAATCACTGGGGGAAAATCTGTCACTGTAGGCGATTTCTTATAATCCGAAATATATTTCGACTTTAAATAGCCCACAAAGTGTTGATAAGTCATAAAAAATCGATCAATCAATTCCAATCTACAAATAACCTTCCACTAACCTGGCTGCTGCTGATGCAATAAAATATCCGGACTGGGTCATCTTGAGGGGTTGGAGGAAGTAGAGTAAAGTTAAGAGACGGAAAAATCAGAAGTCGAAATATATATATATATATATATATATATATATATATATATATATATATATATATATATATATATATATATATACACAAGTATATAATTGGTATATACGGAATGAATTCCAATAACCAACAATTACACATTTAATTGTGTGTGTCTAGGTGTTGGTTTCCCCGTTTCCTTTTTTCATAAAGGGCTTTAGAGATGTTCCTTTCTCGTCGCTTTTTTTTTTTTTTTTTTTTTTTTTGTGTGTGTGTATATATATATATATCTAAATATGTCTGGGTGCTTATGTATTATAATCTGATTGTGTTTTTGTTGTTTTGCGCGTGAGTTTAAGACCACATTCACACACTTTAGAATAAAATATATATATACATGTATTGTCAAATGACCGGATATATTGTAGCGTCTTGTCTAAAGTAATTTTAACGAAGAAATAAATTGAATATACATATATATTTTTTTCTTTTCTCAATAATTTTGTAGTTTTTAAACATAATAGTGATTAAATTTGGATTTTAAAATTGCCAGTTTTTAATTTTAATATTAAATTTTATCATATAATTTTATAATTATTGGTTAGTATAAATTATTTTTAATATTACCCGTATTTTAAAGATCTGAATAGTTATTATAACATGATTTCGTTGTCAAGCTTTTGAATCTTTCTATACTTGGTTTTTGATTGGTTATTCTAGCTTTTGTAACAATGTTTCCCGTTAGTGTAGGATCGTTAATTAATTTGAAACTTTTAAAACCATTTATTTTATCTTCAACATCATCACTTGATAAGACACCGAGGGTGTTGAAACAAAATGGCTATTTTTGTAGTGATTTTATAACATACTTATGTTATAAAGTTTTTTTATAAATAATAATTATATATATATATATATATAATATATATATGTATCGGATTATAAGAGGTCGCCTACAGTGACAGATTTTCCTCAGTAATTCCCGATCTACGTACTGACCAGGCTCGACTCTGCTTAACTTCGATAATCAAACGAGAAACGATGTTTTCCTGTAAGCCTTG